AGAGGGAAGTTTTCCCGAATCCTTTACTTCAAGCCTGTTTACGGCTCCGAATATTTGACTCACTTGAGTTTCCAAGTTTAAAATGCGAGACTTGGTCTCGTTTTGGAATTGCACCATGTTGTTTTGCATGGTGGTCATGTTGGTAGTAAGAGCCCAAACCATGTCCTCCGATCCGTGGACATGTTGGAGAATGGATCATACCTCATGTGAGGTATTTTTCTTTGAAAACCAACATCATCACTTTGTTCAAGATATTCTTCTTGGAGCTTTGGACAAAATTCCGTAAGATGCATGTGAGACATGCAAATGTTGCAGGTCTTGGCATCTTGAGCTTTTGAGCATAAGATAAACTCTTTTATTAGAGAAGTTAAGACGGAAATTTGACTCTCTAGGGATAATGTGTTGGTATTCATATACTCATGTAAGCTCATGAAATAGAAAAGTAAGATTTTTTTTATATTCTTTTTTATTTAATTTTGTTATTTTTACGAAATCAAATAAAAAGAAAAATAATTGCCTTTCCCCGGCAACGACGCCAAATTTGATGAGCACTTCGTCGTAGCGCGTCAAAATAATACGTAGATGAATGACATATATGAGATTTAATTCAAGAATAAAAAGGACTTGGCATTGCTACTTTCCACTTGTTGATATATTTTAGTCGATCATTGTTATATCTATAACTTATTAAATTTATAAAAAGGACTTGGCATTGTTATATACTTCTCGAATACTCAATCGAGGAGTATCTCCAATTCATCGAGGGTAGTTATTAACAACGACCGTTCATTGACAACTCTTACTATTAATCAAATATAGAACAACGTCGTATACCGATTTAATAGTAGCATTTAATCTTTTTAACTCCTTCATAAAATCAATTGAGATTGATAACCTAAACACAACGGTTTCGGTTTAACCAACAAAATTAATCCCTCTTAAGTTTATTAACCACGACCGTGCATTAATAAACTGAAGTTACTTACTTGTGAAACCATCAACGATTAACCATCGGTTCGTTGATCGTTTCTAGTAATAATTAATGTCGGAATGTTAACGAATCGTCACTTAGCAACATTCCAACATTAATATAGAATGAGATTAAGGGAAGAATTAATAATCAAGAGAAGAAGTTAAGAAAATAACCACAACTTTAATAATCAACAAGCTTCAAGAGCAAAACCAAGAAATGAGAGTTTAGCTCCTCATTTAGAGACTAAACATACTAGAAAATATAAGAAATAACTATTCTAAACTGAACTTATAAGTATGGATTATGGAAGAAGGGATATCAAAATGGGAAGGAAATGTGGTGTATTTATAGGTTTTTTGGTGAGGTTTGGTAGAATACCCGACCGGGTATATCAAAATACCCGACCGGGTATTTGACCAAATCTGATTTTCGCACGTTCTCTTGCTTTGTTTGATCTTGTATATCTCCGGGTCAAGTCATATCCGACCGGGTATTGATAATACTCGACCGGGTATGACACCAAATCACATTTTTTTATGATTTCTTGCTCCCTTGCACCTTCCTTTGATCTCGTAAGATCTCTCCCATGATCCTTTGTTGATTCTTGATCGATTCTTGCTCAGAATGATTCTAAATTTACTAAATTACAACAAACTAGAAAAATAAAATGATTGCACCGTAAATGTGCAATTACCACAACAACACACCGTAAAAACTAATTAAAAGTAAAAATATAAACACTCAAAAACTAATGCAATCAGGCTAGCAAAAAAAAGTTGACAAAGTTTTAAAAACTGGAGAAAATATATGATTAAAATCTGTGCAGGGGAGCGAGAAACAATTTTAACCAGATATTTTTTACTTTCATTGAATTGACAAACTGTTTTGAAAACATAAAATAAGGAAATTTGATAAAATTTTGTTTGACAGAGGGATAAGAGAATATTGTAATATGATTTGATGATATTTTTTTTTTGAAAGGAATGATTTGATGATCTTAATAAACATCAAAATAATTAGAACTGCTAACTTTCTTGAATACTCTCTGAGTCTCTTAACAAATTTCGTATGTAGTACTCGCTCCATTCTTTAATAAGTGTCTCATATTTTTTAACTTGTTTTTGATTATTTGTCTCTCTTTCTCCTTTAAGTATTCCCCTTCTTACATTCTACTTTTTTTTTTTATTTTTTTATTTATCATTACTTTATTTTTCTTAATTTATTCTCTTGCTCTACCCCTACTATTTTCTTGTTAAAAATCACAAAATATCTTAGGAGACTATTATTGAAAAACACAATATATATTTTTGGAATTGGAAATTTGGAATCGTTTATTTTCTTCACATATAACTATCTATTGCTTTATATAGTAAAACTCAGTTATAAACCGCTAACGTGTCTTGCTTTCATTGAATTGGTTAACAAGATTTAATTAATGTAATTAAACATTTAAGGGAACTTTCCCTTAAATGTTTTAATTAAATCTTGTTTTAATGTTTTAATTAAATCTTGTTAACCAATTCAATGAAAGCAAGATGATAAAAAAAAATCAATGAAAGCAAGACACGTCAGCAAGAAAGTTCCCGAAATAGGACTAAAACAGTTTAAAAATTCCAAAATAGGACTATCATATTTTTATTCCCAAAATAGGAGTAATTACTGTCAAGTTTGGAAAATACTGCCATGTTTGAAGTCTTGTACTGCCAAAACATGACAGTAATTAGTCCAATTTTGGGAATAAAAACATTGCAATCCTATTTTGGAATTTTCAAACCTTTTTAATCCTATTTCGGGTAATATTCTCAACATTTAATTATAGGGAAAGTTCCGGAAATAGGACTAAAACAATTTGAAAATTCCAAAATAAAACTGTCATGTTTTTTATTTCCAAAACAGGAGTAATTACTGTCAAGTTTGGAAAATATTGCCATGTTTGAAGTTTGGTACTGTCAAAACATGACAGTAATTAGTCTTATTTTGGGAATAAAAACATGACAATCATATTTTGAAAATTTCAAACTTTTTTAGTCCTATTTCGGGTAATATTCTCTTAATTATAACATTTATGTAGAAATTGTAGGATAGAAAAAACGGGAGAAAAACGCTAGAGAAAACATAGGAGAAAAGACCGGAATAAATACGTAAGCATACAAATGACAGAGTCCTTAATCACTTTTCTTTTTTATTATTAATTTCAATTTTCACAAATGTATATCTTTGATTATAAAATCATAGCATACGCAACAGAGATACCATACACTAGATAAAGTATACAAACGCATTTTGTCACTTCATCAAATATTATAGAAATAATGGGTTGTAATACAACTAATAGGATTTTATAAGAACAACAACATTCAAGTCTTAATCACAAAAAATATTGAGGTATACTAACATGAGTCAATCCATGATATCAATGTAAAAAAGAGAAGAAGGGTAAGAAAAATAGAAAATCTAAGATAAAATGGTCAAGATTTTGACCGCAATGGTGGAGAGATTTTAATTCACTGAGGCAACACTAAATTATCCTTTTTTTTTATTTCATTTGAACATAAAAATAATTCACACCGCATCGGCTGTAATACGCATCACAACGGCCTTAATAATAGCCGCAACCACAATTCCGCAATGACCGCAACGACTAAATGTAAAACCTTGATATGGACTAAATTGTAAATATGTAATATGTCAGATTGTGATTATAGTCCAATTTACATCCTCCCATCGTGACGTTCGGTCGGTGTTGGGGGACCCTCAGGGATGAGGTGTCATCCTTTTTTTAATATGGACTAAAGTGTAAATATGTAATTTGTCATGATGGATAATTTAATAATCATTAACAATTACGAATTTATAATTGGTTATGATTAGTTCATAATAAAATTTTATTATATTTATCTTTGAATGATATAAATAATTCACGATATCTATTTGTATTTTACATTTTAACTCATAGCAAATTGATATGCTACCGGACATGCCCTGGCTTTACACTAGTATAAGTACTCCTACGGACTACGTTGTACGTACTGTCACATTTCACATATATAGCGCAGCTAATTAAATTAATTACCCATATAATAACAACTTAACAGATGTGAAATTAAAACCTGGGGCAAAAGAATCCGGTATCCAAGATTTCTAGACCAATTAAATGAAGAAAAAACCATGCAGAAAGACTTTAAGTTCTAACTTAAATTAAACAACCCGGATTCTTCTTCCCCAGATGGATAATACATCCTCAAAACACTCTGTTTAAAACTGCACCTTAATTTTCTTTTCTTCAGATCATATACTAACGGATTAACCCATCATGCTAGATCTGGAGAAGCTAAGCACACCTGATCAACTCTAACATATTCACCACTTCTGCCATATCAGGTCTCTTAGATGGAACTTGAGACGTGCATATGAGCCCTAACTTGACCACAGGAATGACCTCCTCAAGAAGATTATACACCCCATGCAACCTCTCATCAATGCATTCTTCCACCCGCCCTTCTTCCAATGCTCCTCTCACCAAATCACATACCACCACTACATCATCCTCCATATACTCCACCGGTTTCTTTCCCGTCACAATCTCGAGAATCAGAACGCCAAACCCATACACGTCACTCTTCTCGGTTATCTTCACGGTTTTGCACGCGAACTCGGGTGCCATGTATCCGAGGGCGCTTTGGACTTTACTGCTAAGCACGTATCGGTCCAATGTTGGTAGTAGCCTTGCCAATCCATAATCCGATAGCTTCGGCTCGCCAGATGACTCATCCATTAGAATGTTGCTCGACTTCATGTTGTAGTGGATGATGTTCATTTTGTGTAGATGGGCTAGACTTCTTGCAGTCCCAAGTATCACTTTAAACCGCTCGTTCCAACCGAGATCAGAACCTGACGCGTTGTGGAGACGCTCATAGAGGTTTCCACCCGAAACGAATTCGTATATGAGAAGCTGGAGGTCTTGTGTCCAATAGTAGCCCTCAAGTGACACAAGGTTACCATGACGGACATCTTCCTCTCCCAAGTTCTTAACTACCCTTTCGAAGTCCTCCTGAGACTTCACTAGATTTGAGACAGTGAGTTTCTTGATCGCAACGGCACGTCCATCCCCGAGGACGGTTTTGTAAACTGTCCCGAACCCACCATGGCCTATCTCGGAGTCCTTGTTGAGCAAGGGACGATGAGCGGGGCCCACACTAAAGTTGTGATCTCCGGAGAACATGACGAGCTTACCCGAACCACTAGCTTCGCCATTGGTGTTAGTGGAGCAAGGGGTAGAATCGTCACCGCCATAAAATGCGTGTGGAGAAGTGACGGGTTGACGGGCACGCGTATTGAGGACGCTTATAGTTATCACACCAAAGAAGATTACAGCTGCTGCAGCAATGGCGATAAGGGAAGAAATGCTAAGGATTTTCTTCTTGTGATGGAAGGTTGGAAGGGCTTTTGCGGGAGAGGAGTCATCGACGGTTGAGTTAGGGTTCAGTACTAGAGGTTTGGGAAGAATGAGAGGGTCACATGAGGTATTAAGAGCGGGCCCACAAAGAGAGGGATTCCCAGAAACAGAAAATGGTGAAATTCTGTTGAAGAAACCACCTGTGGGTAGCTCTCCATTTAATTGGTTATGTGAAATGTTGAAGGATAAGAGGTGAGCAAGACTGGATAGCTGTTTTGGTAGGCTTCCGGTTATTCTGTTAAAAGACAAGTCAAGGTTTTGGAGGGAATTAAGTTTGGCTAAGGCTGCTGGGAAAGGGCCAGTTATGTCATTATGGGAAAGAGACCTGCAAAATTATTCAAAAGTGTCATAAGTGTAGTTCAATTAGTACTTTTTTAACAATAGAAGTTACTTTCATTGATAATAAGATTGTGAAGGGCAAATGTGGAAGCAAAGGCCTCCTGATTTTATAAAATGACACATTATGAAATCGCAATGACACTTAATTAGCATGAAATAGAGAAAATAAATTCATTTGTACATGTAATATTTCTATATGATTTTTACAACTTCGCAGTTGGTATGGTGGTGAATGAGTAGGAACCCCTTTGGTAAGGGTTGGCTGAATGACTTAATATGCCGAATTTGAATTTTATGACAGAAGAAGCCTTTTGGTAACATATACTACAAATAAATAAGTCAAAAGCTACTTAATCCAACAGAATTTGTAGCTTTGGCTGCAAACTGGGCCCAAATGTCTCCATCTTTGTGGAAACAGTATTGAAGAAGGAAACATAATTTCAATCTTGAAAAACAAGAAAGCTGGAAACCACATTAATCACTTTATACTTTAAAACTTTCAGAGAAAACTAGTGACCAGTTTGGCATTTGAAAGCTAAAAACAATCTGGAAACCACACAATTGAGGATAATAAGTAGACAACTTACAATGTCACTAACGATGAGCAGTTCATGATGGAAGAGGGAATTTCGCCAGATAACGAGTTCTTCTGAAGCCACAATTCCCTGATAGAAGTGATTTCCCCAATCTCTAAAGGGATGCTTCCATTCAACTCATTCTCACTTAAGTCCATAATATCCAAAGATCTCAACCTTCCAATACTTTTGGGAATGCTTCCAACAAGTGAGTTTCCAGACAAATTCAAGAACTCCAACCCACTAAAGTCCCCAAGAACAGATGGAATCTCCCCAGATAAATCATTGCCAGACATATCCAAAGACACAATCTTTTGGCGGGAATTGTTTGTGGATGAACCTAAAATATTACCAAGATTACCCTTAAACTTGTTTACTGAAAGTATGATCTTCTGCAACCCCAGATTGTAAAGCCATGAAGGGAGTTCACCTGCTAAGAAGTTATAACTAACATCCAAAGCAAAAAGGTTTGAACAATTGGACATGGAGATTGGAAAGTTTCCAGATATTGAATTCTTGGAGAGATTGAGTGTGTTCAAAGACTGAAGCTTTTCTATGGAAGTTGGGATATGGCCAGAAAAGGTGTTTTCTGAAAGGTCTAATGTCTGAAGGCTTTTCATTTCTCCAATCCATTCTGGAATATCACCAGAAAGTGTGTTTCTTCTCAACACCAATCGCTTACACATTCTTAGGTGCTGAAATGAGATAGGAAGCGTACCAGAAAGGGAATTTTGGCTAAAATCAATTGATCTAAGTAGTAGACAGTCTCCTATTTCGGGAGGTAATTTACCCAAGATTTGATTTTTCCTCAAATTAATCTCTCTCAGATTCTTGAGACCTCCAATGCCCTTTGGAATCACACCCTTGAGAAAATTGTCTGACAGATCAAGTGACCTTAAGGAAGGCAAAGACCAAATTCCAGATGGTAAACTTCCAGAAAACCAATTCGAAGACAAGTTTAAGGCAATCAAAGATACACATGAGCTCAAACTCTCTGGGATTTGTCCTGAGAACCTGTTTTGGGCTAAGGAGATTGATTTTAACGACCCACATTGTTGAATGAACTCATCTGAGATAATCCCAGATAAATGGTTCTGACTCAAATCCAAAAATCTAAGTTTAGAAATTTGAGTAAGACTAGAACTTAACCCTCCTGTAAGATTGTTCTTGGAAAGGGAAAGCTTTCTAAGAAACTGTAATTGAAGAAGCCCTCTACTGCCTATCTTCCCAGAAAGCCCAAAACCATCAAGGTTAAGCTCAGTTACCGTATTGGATCTACGATTGCATTTGACCCCAACCCAATTGCACGGACTATCATCTTCTTCAGACCAAGAAACTAACTTTCCTACTGGATCAAGAATGTCGGATTTGAAGGCAATCAACCCAAGAACATCGTCATTTAGGGGAGGGTTTAAAGCCCTAACCAAAATGGAAGATAAAAGACTCAGAACGAAAATGCAGAACACCCTTCCCATTTCAGCTCCTGGCAAGATACATAAAACAAGTCAACTAAAACATAATCTGGCATATAGATGCTCATCAATCAGAATAAAGCACTGAAAAAACGTCTGAAAATGAAAAATATAGAAATGCTTACAAGAGTATTTGGAAAACACTACCTACAAGACTCCAATTTGTAGAGATGAAGAGTCTGTTTTGAACGGAATGAACGCCGCTTAGAGCTAGAGAAGGCACAGCATAGCTTTGGCATGAATAAAAGATGCAAATTTAGAAGAAGTTGCTGCTACTAAAAAACCCAGACGCAATAAGACAGACACATTGGCCGGCGAGAAAAAACTATGGGCAAGAAACGGTTACATAGATGAAATGGTGAAAATGTTTTCAAATCTCAAACGGTCAAGGAATTTTTCTGAGAAGAGGAAATGGGAAAGTGGAGGAGAAGCCGGAAAGTTCGCCGTCGAGGTAGTGAGACAGTGAAAAGCATTGAAAGCTCTCGTCTTTCTATTGTCGGAGTGCATGACAGATAGCGGTAGTATTTATTATTAACGAGGGAAAAGGAAGAAGAGAATGGAGGACCCGCTTTTATTTTCTGAAAGGTGTCAACGTCTAATAAGCGATTGGTTGACCTATAAATAAACTCCCCAAGGGCCAAATCTCGTTTTATTCCAACTCACTTTTCCTCACATGGCTTAAATTTATTAGATTTGTTACTTGCACTACTTTTTATACACATCTTATGATCTTATACACAATTTTATGAGAATATTATCTTTTTATGTGTGAATCTCGTTCAAAATAAAAGCATGTTACATATACATTTTGGTGTGAACGAGATTCACAGACAGGGCCGTAGATGAGGGCGTGCAAGAAAAGCTATCGCACAAGACATCTCGATTCAGAAGATCCAAATTTTTAAATATAGTCTACATATAATATACAAAATCCTTTTTTATTTGATTAAAGATTCCTATTTTAGTATTTTGTTTTTAAATACAAACATTAAATACTACTACATAATATTTATATGTAATTAAAATGCAATTGTTAATTATAAATGTGCAACTTCTTTATTACATAAGGCTTGGATAAGACCTAGTTATAGTAATTAGCACAAATTCATCGTACAGTTTGGACGAGCTTGGTTTTAAGGGGCGGAAGAAGTAGTTTTTTCAGTAATATCCTACTATATTTTTTTTAGTTCATGATTTTAATTCATTTCTTTTCAGTTTTAGTGTTTTTACCGATTTTGGTTGTTCAGGTTCGAAATATGATTATATATATATATATATATATATATATATATATATATATATATATATATATATATATATATATCAATGTCACATTTGATTGTAGTCTTTTTTGGGTTATTTTTTAAAGGCTGCTTTTTATATTATACGAAGTATTTTTTTAATATAAGGCCTATTTTACGTGATTTGCACCGGGTCTCCTAATCTATTCAGCCGGCCATGTTCACAGATAAAAATTAGTTTTCTCACGAATGTGTCGTATGAACAAAAAAGTGAATACAAATAGAAATTTTTATAATCCATTGACAACTTTGTGGATCAATTTGGCATATTCTGAACAATATTTTGTCTGTGTAAATACAACAATATCTATTTGTATGTAGTCATTTGTTTTACAAAAACGAAATATATACAACTATCCATGCACAGACAAAAGAAACACAAAAAATTATTGTATTTTGAATACTTATATAGTTATATGAAGTGATTTGTGGGGCCTGTTTAATTATATGTTATTTACAAATACTACAAACGAATGTTCTTAATATAACATGCAGTGAACTCTTAAGCAAGAAGTTGGTGCACACTATGTATACGTTACATGCTTCGAATCTTTGATACCATTATTGTGTTCCTTCCTCACCATTGTCATTGTTTATAACTAAAAAAAAGCTAAACAGAAAGAGGAGTGCCGTGGGGTCTGGGGATGAGAAGAAAAAGGTGGTTGGCACTTGGCATCTTGACCTGGCAGTAGTATCCAACGTGGTCAGAAGTGGACGGGGTAGTATATTATGGTTACCGGTGGTGGAACCGAATTTTGAGGGGGTGCAGAAATTTTTTGTGAGAGATTTTTTTTGTACACCCTCTAACTTCATAAAACAATTAAATACATAAGTGTTAAATCGGGAACATATATACATTAAACTATATAGCAGCGAACATATATTGATACATATATATAAGAAAACATATATACTCCTTAACCATTTACACAAAATGATGTATATCAGCAAAATAATCAAAACGAAAAACAGATTTACACACGGAAAATTTGTCCTATTATTCTTTATTATCATAAGCCTCACTAGTCACTACTCGGTAATAACAATTACACGTGAATGTTTTACAAATTATAAAGTAATAAAATCACTAATTTTCATTCAAGGAATCCAGCCAAGTCATCCATCCTTATGGTATATATAAATGGTAAAATGGCCGTATACGAAGTATTTAATACTTCAATAGTACATATATTTTAATTAATTTTAAATATATACTATTATTATAGCATAATACGTAGTAGTTAGTATGACATGTCAGCAGTAGGTACTCCGTAGAAAATACTCCAGTATGGCTTTGCAGCCTTTGCTGAATTAAGCCACTCTAATACTCCCTCCGGTTCTAAATAAACTTCACACTTTCCTTTTCGGGACGGTCCAAAATAAACTTCACACTTCCTAATTTCCTTATTTGGCAAAGAAATCTACATCAAAACAGTGTTAAACATTGCTAAACAGTGTCAAACAGTGTCTTAACAGTGCCAAACAGTGTCTCAACAGTGCCAAACAGTGTCTCAACAGTGTACTCTACAGTAAAGTCAACTTTATTTCCTTAATAACTGTGAAGTCAAACACTGAAGTTTAAAAAGAACCGGAGGGAGTATATAGAAATAAAAAGTCTTGGTGTACACCCTGGGTTACACCCTGGGGTACACCATATATAAACCTTCTTTTTTTACTGCTTTCTTTACCCCTCTTCTCACACAGCTCTCCCATCCCCATTCTTCACGCACATTTCTTTCTCTCCCACATCCCTCTTTGTTCGTTCTCTTCTTCCCACCTTTCTCTCTGTTTTTTATTTTTTCTTTCGAGATATCATGGATGATTTTCTAGCATATTTGATGGTGGATGGAGAAGTGGCTGGAAACGATGGAGGTTTGGAAGATACCCCTTACCTGCGACGGATGACGGACAACGGAAATGGAAGAAACGTGGAAGCTCTGAACGTCGAAAATGGGGGAGCTGTGAATGGAGAAGATGGAGTTGCGAACGGAAATGGTGGATCTGTGAATGAGGAAGATAGATGGTGGTCCGAACAACCCTAGGGACGAAGACTTAGGTGGGACGGGTGGCAGACCTGTGACACAAGGCGTCAATGAAGTTCCGATATTTGACGGCCGAGATGATTACAGTTGTGACGGGAAGAGAATAGCAGGGAGAACATGAACACAGATGTTGGAGGTATTTTCTTTGACATACAGACAACTTACATACTCAGTCTCGGTGTGTACCGACAACTAATGTCATTATGTACAGAGTACTGTCGGTATGTATAGACAACTGAAGAAATCCTCATTGAGTTGATGCATACTTACAAAGATGAATGTTGTATCTGTGAATGAGTTAATAACTAGTGTTCAATTTACCCTTATTCTGATTTTCTAAGTGGAAAATTTATAGAGGAGTTATTTTTAATGAGTGCATTGACAATAATAAAGTGTTCAAAGTTTGTTTCAGTTTATCACCGTAATGACTTCGTCAATGAGTCATTGTAAACAGATAATATGAACAGATAGAATATATATTTCCTTAATCTCCTAGCCATATCTAAAAGTTACCGATTGGAAGTTACTAAAGGTGTATTTTACCCGAAAGTGATCTTTTTTCTTTCCCTTTGTTTATAGAGAGCAGATGCAATACTTATTTTAGAGGGATGTGGTGACAGAGGTGTGGAGATAAAAATACTTTATGTTAAGTATGAAAAAAATTCAAATGGGTGTGCTTAAAATGTATGTAACTTTCAAGAGTGACGAGGTCATGGAAAGCTATAATTTATCGTTTCTATTTTGTTTGATGTTTGTGAAGAAAGGTATCTTTATGCCAATGTATTTCTTCGTAGCACAAAAATATATGTTAGGAAGTGAGTAATGGAAAAGAAAGGTGTATTTGATTTATATGTGCGAGAGTATGAATTTTGGTTCCTAGGTCTAGCTAGTTGGCTAACTAGTATTGGTTTCATGACTTGGTAACAATATATAACTTGGTCCGTCAACCCTTAGTTCACCGAGAAAACATTATCTTGTAAAGGTAGGCGCTTTGTTTGAGATGTGATCACTGAGTGCTTCAAACCATCAAAATTGATTTCAGATTTCCTTTCTTTTGACTGGTAAGTTCTGTATTTGTGATTAATAAAGGAACCCTATTAAAAGGGGAAACAAGTCAAGTATTTTTGTTTGGAGAGTTTTTAAAATACTACTACATGCATACTATGTTGTAACAGCCATTCAATGTCTATATTTTAAT